ACTGCCAGGTGTGACCCAAAAGCCACCGTCACTGTCCTCCCGTTGTCTGATTTTCTCAAGCGAGCCCAGTAACGTCTCCATTGTGAGACTTTGTTGTTACTGTGTTTGGCATATCAAATACGTCACGGGTAGCTTGTCAGGCTTTACCGAGTGGGCGAGATACTCTCGGGAGCTTGCCGGGCTCTCAGAGAGGGGCGGAGGAATAGAACTCGGGTTGACCTGGTCGGCTGCATGCAAGGCAAAAACCCTACCCGCTGTGCTATCACTCCAGCCCAACCCCAAAAGCAAATAAGAAAGAGAGAGAGAGAGAGAGAGAGAGAGAGAGAGAGAGAGAGAGAGAGAGAGACATGGACTATTATTGTTCCCACTTTGATAGACAGGGTTCATCACAAGTTAAAAGGCTGGGTCTTGACCCTATCTTTTCCCAAATGTGTCTTCTGTATATCAGATATAAATGTACCCAGGGCCAGAGTGATAATACAGCAGGTAGGGCGTTTGCCTTGCACTTGAATAACTGGGGTTTGATCCCCAACACCCCATATAGTCCCTTGAATCTGCCAGGACTGATCCCTGAGTGCAGAGCCAGGAGAAAGGCCTAAGCACTGCCGGGTGAGCCCAAACCCAAAAAACTGGAAAAGATAACCGAAAAGATCCTTGGTGATGGGTGTCCGAGAGTTGGGGATTCGCAACATGTCCACCTGTCACATGTCCTCTTGGCAGCTGAGGTCACTGCACAGACACGGAACACTCCCCAGGTCCTACCCAGCACCCGCACCATATATCTGGACTCACAACTCAGGAACATCCTGGTTCTGTCCTCCCACAGGGTTTGCCATCTTAAACAAGATGCTGCCGCTCTGTGCCTCAGTTTCCCCATCTGTCACATAAAGGGGGTTGCCACCTACCTCCTGGCCGAGTGTGGACTGACAGTGACACAGACAATGGCATGTAGACCCAGCTTCAGTGAGGGACTGCTAGTTTTGCTGGGTACCCACAGCAGGGGTGGGCAATCTGTGCCCCTGGGTAGGGGGTTGGGGCAGCAGGCAGTGGTGGAGGGGCTCTCTGCTGAAGCTGCCAGTTCACAGGCCCCCAAGGAACCACCCGGAGGCATGCTGGCCCTGCAGACTGGCCTGAGGGGTCGCTGCAGGGGTCCTGGGAAATTCACATCTTTGCTTTTTCTCGTATTGCTCAGAGGTCAAAGGCTACTGGTCTGCACCCGGGGCTCGGTGGTGCTACTTGCCAGGGGTTGAGCGGGTCCAGCTTCCCAGGCTGGGGGAATCTGCGGGAGTCACGGTCACCTGTGGGGTGGGAGGCTTGGGACCAGCAACCGGCGGCCAAGCATGAACTGTTCTGGTCCCTGCCTGTCCCCAAAGGCGCCTGCTAGCCTTGGAGCCTCCTCATCACCCATCGGCATCTATCCAGTGGAATGACCGGCCACAAAGGCAGTCGGCAGGCGGGAGAGCTGGGGCAGCCCCTACTTGTGCCTCTCTTTGAGTGGGGTCCCCATTGCACTGCCCACAGCGGAGGGAGGATGGCCAGCCCGCCCACCTCCAGGGTTGTGATAGCTGAGCAGAGCGCAAGCAGGAAAGCGCTGAGCAAATCTTTGTGTCCAGAACGAGCAACCACTGACCATGCTGCACGGGGCCGTTCTCCCCTTAGGAGGTAGCTCAGCTGTTGGAGGGGCAGGGGTGGGCCACGGTCACCTACACCCTCACATCTGCTCAGCACCTGTTTGCCCAAACCACCCATTCACTGTGGGGTCAGCCTAGAACTTTCTCTGCCCCACCCCCAAGAGGGACCTCGGGGATGCCCACTCAAATGAGGCGGGGCCACGGGACAGGCACACAGCCAGCAGGTGACGACAGGACAAAGGGACCTTGGCAGCTAGCTGAGTTCAAACCCTGGCTCTGCCCTGAAATAAGGTCTTAGATTTACGGAACAGTTGATCTAGGGCAAAGGAGCTGGGTGCCTCAAGGGGCCATGGGTGGCCTCGTCAACACAAGGGGGTGTGAAAACTAATCAGCCACATGCAGACAAACAAACGACAAAAAAGAAACTGGGTCCCTATCACATCATTCACAAAACTCATTTGAGATCTCCAGAACAGATCAGAATCCATCAAATACATTCAGAAAAACACAGGCAGAACTCTCTAGGATATGAACCTTAGAGGCATCTTCAGTGATGCCTTGACTCCACTGGCAAAGTTATGAACAAATGGGACTTTAGCAAATTAGAAACTTTTAACATGGCAAAAGGAACTTGAGTTTTACTTCCCACCTTCCTGACAGGGAGAAAATATTTGTACCACAGTATGCACCAGATAAAGGGCTAATATTCAAGATACATAAAGCACTCTCAAACCTTAACAATGACCAAAAAAACCCCACAATAATCCCATCAAAAAATGGAAAAAGGAGGACATACACTTTCCTCTGGGCGACATATGAAAAAGAGTTCATATGTCAGGAAACATATGAAAAAGAGCTGATCATCACCTAGTAGCAGTGAAACGAAAAATAAAACAATAATGAAGAATGTCTCGGCAGTAAAAATGGCCTGTATCAAAAGAAAATAGGACCAGAGCAATAGTACAGTGGATGCATTTGACTTGCACTCGGTCGACCCAGGTACAATCCCTGGTCCCCCTCGTACCACCAGAAGTGATCCCTGACACAGTCAGTAGTAAACCCTGAGCACTGCCAGGCGTGGCCCCAAAACAAAGACAAAATCACCAATGTTGATCAGGATGTGATGAAAAGGGAACTTTTATTCACTGCTGGTGGGAATAGTCTCTGGTTTAGCCTCTATGGAAAACAGCGTGGTGATTACTCAAAAAAGTAAGATGGAGATCCCATATGACCCAGTAATTCTACCTCTTGGCATCTACCCCCTTCTCAAAGACACTAATTCAGTATGATATATGCATGCCTATGTTCACTGCAGTGTTGAACACAATAGCACGGGCATAGAAATAACCCAGGTGTCGAATGATGGATAAATGGATAACAAAGTGATGGAATAGGAGCTGGAGCCATAGTAAGCCCTGAGCAGTGCTGGGTGTGACCCAGAAACCCACCCACCAACGCCCCCCCCCAAAAAAAGCTGCGGAATATATACACAGTTGAACAGTATATAACTCCAAGATGAAATTTTCTGTGTATACAGAAAAATAAAACAAGGGCACAGGTTGTATGGAGCAATGAGTTGGCCTTGGGTTATAAAACTGAGATTACCAAATGGGGGAAGGAAGAGGCAGAGCAGAAGTGACAAAGGACATTCACTGACGGAGGGTCCTGGGCACTTTGGGGGTGGGGGGAGTTTGTACATCAGTACCACAAATGCCAAGACTGTGGTAGAGCCATGTTACCTGAACCTAAAAAATCAAAACTATGAACATACGTCGGCTCGCCCCTTGTGAGCTGGTGACCTGGGATAAGTCACTTAGTGAAGACAAAGTGACAATGGGGACAAAGGTGCTTCTCTCCTGCTGTGGGAGAAGTAAACAAGAGTGTCTACGCTGGTCACACCTCATGTTTACAAAAGGCTGCAGGTTTAACCTCCAGAGGACTGCTAGGAAACAGCAGAGGAAATACAGGAAGTATATTATATAGTGAAATTCTTTATTTTTAAAAATAACATAGCAGATTTGGTGTGTGTGTGTGGGGGGGGTACAACACCTGGCCATGCTCAGGGGATACTTCTGGCTCTACATTCAGGAATTATTCCAAGCAATGCTCCAAGGGACCAAATGGGATGTTGAGAATCAAATCCAGGGTCGGCTGTGTGCCAGGCAAGTGCTCGACCGGCTGTATTATCTCTCCAGCCCACAAGTACAGGCCTCTTGATGATCTCTGGGCTTCAACTTCCTCATCTGTACAATGGGCACAAAAACTACTTCCGGGACGCCGTGGGAGGGGAGTAGAGGGCACTGATGTGAGCATCCACAGCCAACAGGCTCCAACACTGTCCACCAGGGGCCCCCCCCCCCCCCCGGGGAGCCCTTCACCCGACACCCCAGGCAGACACCACAAGAGGCGGCTGGGTAAGGAAGAGTAACATTTACTGAGCGATACAGAACTGAGTACTATGAAGGGCTTGCCAGGATGGAAATGCACCCCACCCCCGCCCCGGCCCCCCCACACCCAGAGGCTACAGTACTGAGAGTTACACACAGCAGCCGTCACTGCTGGGTATCTGTTCGTAACAAACAAACCATAGCATATTTATACTGTATCACATTGAGTGATTATAGAAATCCATATATATATTGCTTGTATAAAATCTTTTTTTTTTGTAAAAAATATTAAAAAAAAAAAAGAAAGTATAAAAACCATGTGCAGTTGGAAGCCCCCCGGGACAGCCTGTAAACATTAAGAGAGTATGTGCTTTGGAAGGGCGCCCGCGCCTCCCGCCTGGCGAGGGGTACCCCGGCTGCCACTCTGGCGGTGGGAGCAGCCGCCCCCCCCCCCCCATCATACCCCTTTCCAAGCCTCCATCAGGCCCCGGGGCCAGGGGAGGTGTGTGTGTGGAGGGGAGGGGGGGGGGGCAGGCTGACTGCCCTGGGGCTGAGTTCCGTCCCCCCAGCTGCGTTTTGGTTGCGACTCATGGCTTCTCTTGGCTGCTCGGAGGTCCCTCGGGTGGGTACCCTGGAGGGGAGGCAGGTGTCTCTCTCCTGGCCCCTGGACGCCTCTGTCCTGGCTCCTCCAAGCCGGGGCTGGCTGGACCGCCTCCCCACGCCCACCCCGTCACCCACCTCCACCCCCCCCAGGAGTCTACTTTGGTCTCAGCGCTTGGTCCTCCAGGGGTGGGGGGAGGGTGGGGGGCGTGGGGGGGGGTGTCAGCGGACAGGAGTTTCTTGAGAAAGCCCGGTGAGGCTGGTAAAATGTCTCTGCAGGCGTGGAGGAAGGGCCCGCCGGGAGCTCCTCCCTCTTTCCTCCTCACGCTGCTCCTCCTCCTTCTCCTCCTCCTCCTCCTCCTCCTCCTCCTCCTCTTCCTCCTCCTCCTGGGCGTCCTCCCAGCCCATGCTCACTTCTCCTCCAGCTGCTCCAGCAGCGGGTTGCCTTCAGCCTCAGGCGTCTTCACGCTGTCCGTCCGGACGATGCAGGTGGGGCGGTGCCGGTTCAGCATCAGGATGAGCTGCTGCCGCTCCTGCTTCAGCTCCTCTATCTGGGTCTTCAGCTCAGCGTTCATGAGTTCTAGCCGCTCGGATTCCTGGTGGGGGGCAGACATAGAGATGGGGCTTGGAGCGTGCCCCTGCCAGGGAGTGCGCATCCTGCCTCTGGGTCACCTGTCGGGAGGGCTGGGTCATATCCTGGGACTAGCTGGGCTCGTGTCTCTCCCCACCTGGGCTGCTCCAAAAAGACTGAGCAGGGCATTGACCCCAGGGCCTTTGCACGAGAAAGTTGGGCTGGAGAATGGCACCATAGTGATCCACAGAAGATAGAATGGTCCATGGTTAGGGCCCTGGGGTATGATAACTACAGGTGGGGACATCTGAGTCAGAATTGGGGGTGGTGTTAGGTGTGTGCTGTGGTGACGAGTCCAGGAGTGTAGGATAATGTTGGTTTGCCCTTCTTCCCTGGCCGCTGGAAGCTTGTGTTTGTTGACGGCCCCCCAACCTGTCAATTACCTTTGTCTTCTGATCAGACTCTGACTTGTAAATATTGTCTTTCTCTTCTCCTTAATGTCTTTTGCAAGGTAATTATTTCAGATCAGTTGCTTTTTGTATGGATACAGGAAGACAGTTAAAAAGGCAGACTGTGGCTTGGGAGTTGATTGACTTCAGATAATCAACTGATTATCTGAAGGTTAATCAGGAGGTCGATTACCTCCTGGACATCTGCTCTCTCAAGTTCAGCCTCAGTTTCCCTTCTTAGATCCCCAAAATCAGGGTCCCGATGAGGGACTGGATAGACCCAGGGCAAGGAGTGAGCTATGAGCTACCCTGGCATCGAGATGGGCCTGGCCAACGTGCCCTAATGCTCAACTATTAGTTAAGAGCTTGGTCATGGATAAATGTTGTCACGATCCAAAAGTAACAACTAAATTTGGACCTTGCTGGGGTTAGGGAAGATCGATTTGGAGTCTGAGCACTGGAGTTTGAGTCTGTGGTGAGATGTCCCCGGGAGAGTCACCCTATAAGCCTAAAAGTGTCTATTACTGTGTCCATGCAGAATGGTAAGCATTAGGAAGGAGAATTAAAGATGTTAATTAAGTTGCAGGTCTAAGGAGAGGAGAAACACACCTGAAGGGCTGTTTTGCCCTCGTGGGCTGCAGGTGGTTGGGGAGACTGGAAAAACATTTTTGATCACGCTTCCCGTGGGGAGGCGGGGTTGGGAGGCGTGGTGAGAGGATACGAAAGCTTCGGGGAGAAAGGGATGGATTGATTGAAGGAGAGGGGATTGAAGGAGAGATGGTTACGGAGACAGCAGAGAGAGAGAGAGAGAGAGAGAGAGAGGAGACGGATACTGTGGGAAGAAAGAATTGTGCGGTTAGAGAGAGACAGAGAGAGAGGGTTGGAGAGAGCTGGGAGAGACGAGGGACTGGGTAAATGGCAACCAATCAGCGAGCAGCCGGGCCCTCATTCTTCCTCCATCCGTCCAAGGCCAACAGCTGGCCCAGGTGGGGAAGCGTCTCAAGAGCATCAAATGCGGGCGGCGAGAGAGAGCTGCCCAGAGAGCCCACGAACATCCTTTCACGTGTAATCCCTGCGTGGGATTTGCACACAGGAAGATCATGTAATTTCTCCTGGAAATTTGCTTCCCGGCCTCCGGCCTCCTAAAGAGCCTTTTTCTATGCCTTGTCATCACGCTTTGCCCATGGGAAGGGCCTCCCCATCCCCCTCTCCATCTGAAACCAGGTCTCGGCTCCACCTCAGCCGAGGTTTCCAATGAGCTTCCCAGCCCAGCAGGGCAAAGGAAGGAAGGCTTGGGGATCTGAGTGGCGGGGGGGGGGTTTGCCGGGTCGCTTGTCTTTGCATAATGAGGAATATGACGGACACGCCAGCTCAGGGGTCAAACAGAAAAGAAAGTGCCTGAATGGGGGAAAAAAAAGTTATCCAACACGTTATTCATTCTGGGGGAAAAGTGGCCACCAGGTGGGCTGGAGGTTATACGGTGCAAGGATTAGAACCCAGGGTTCTGAGGCCGGAGAGGGAGTAGAGTGGGTAAGGCCAGGTTCAATCCCTGCCAGGTGTGACCCCTCCCCTGCAAAAAAACCCAGAACCCACGGTCCTCTGTGTGCATACGTGCTCTGTTCTCTGGGCAGAGCTTCCTGTGGGCCCAAGAGCTGACAGGAGCAGGGAGCGCTCCCGGGCTCTAGAGGGCGGCAGCGGGTGAGGGTCTGAACACCCACCCTAGCAGATATCCACAGCCCTGGAGAACCGGCTCAGCCACTTAACCACGGTGTGTGGAGAGTCAGGTGGGTTGCGGAAGACCCCTCCCGACGACAGCCTGTCCTGCAACCTGGCTGGACACAGGGCTGAGCCACCTCCCTCTGGGGTGTCTGGGCGAGGCCCCCACAGCCCCCAGGGCTGCCTCTTCCTCTCAGGGCGGGACTGACTGCTGCCCTCAGGCCTCTGAGTGGCATCTGGTGACCAGACTCGAAAGAGGGGAAAGAAACCCCAGGGAGGTGAGGACAGGGGTTGGCGGTGCCATTGGTGCTCTGCCGTTGGAATTCTGATTTGAGCAAGCTCTGAGGGCTGCAGAGACCCCACACAAAACGGAGAGCCTGTGCCCCGTCCTCGCCCCTGCTCATTGGGACTCCCAAACCCTCTGACCACCTGGCCTCCCGCTTCACACAGACAAGCTCTGGGCTTTCACTTTCTCTCCGTGAGGTGAAACGCAGCACCTCGGCCTGCCCCCAAGCCACAGCCCCGGCCTCACGGCACCTTCCCACCCCCCTCGGCGTCTCTGCCCTCCAAGCGTCAGTTCAACCCACCGCGCGGAGCACTCGCTGGGGAGGAAGGAGGTGCCAAAGAGCAGGGCAGAGCCCAGGGTAAGCAGCCGGTGCCCGGCAGCCAGGCAACCTCTGGAGAGCCTCTGGGGCCCAGCCCAGGGCTCTGGCCTTGGCATCAAGCTGACCGTGGCAGGTGGAGGCATGAGGGAGACTGAGGTTGTTTTGGGGAGATCAAAATTTTCCACTGGGACTGGGGGGGGGGTGCCCCTAGGACACACGGGAGGGTGTAGACCAGGAAGGAGGATTTAGAGCGGGGCTGGGAGAGACGTTCGGGGGTGAAGGCGTCTCCCACACTTTTATTCTCTGGGCTCAGCTCTCGCATCTGGAAAAAAGAGGAGGATGATCCTGGAGATGAAGGGGATTCCCCTGGGGAAAGCGCTCGCTTAAATCCCTGGTTTAGGGAAGCTTAAGGACTTCTGACTTTCATCTGTGAGCAAGAGACTAGAGGGAGAGGGAGGCTGAGGAGGAGGTGGGTTCAAAGAGAACTTGAAAGCTTGTGGGGATGGGCTGGATTTGGAGGATGCAGAGGACTGAGAGCTGTGGGGGGCGGGCCAGGGGGCAGGAAGGGCAAGGACGGTGGTGGTGGGTGGCTCGCTCCAAGGGCTTCAGCAGGCTTGGCAGGTGGGCGGTGATCCCTGGCACGAACGGCTGGGGAGTGCCCCCAGCACCACCAGGTGTGGCCCAGAAACAAAATGAAGAGCCGATTGCCGGCAGCCGGTGTGGAGCCTGTGTGAGGCCCGGCAGGCCCTCCCTGCCCTCCAGCGCCATGAGGTGTGGCCGCAGTTTTGATATATGAATCTAAGAGGAGGTTCGAGGGCAGTGTCTGGCACAGACCGTCCAATAGTTCTGCCTTCTGGGAGGGCAGCCCAGGAAAGACCCAGCGGCTGGCCAAAGGCACCTTGTTCCCACAGGAACACGCACTGCTAGGATGCAGCCCCGAGCTTGGCCTGGCCGGACTGTGGGAGGTAAAAGTCTGCGTCTTTGTTCCGTTTCCTTCTCTGGCCAGCGCGTCACCCCTGGTGAGCGTGACCGGTTGTGCAAGCCAGTGCTGAGCTCAGAACAATCCCGTTCCCGCCGTGGCTGAAGGCGTGGTGTGTGGCTTCAGGCCAGCAGCTACCTGATCCGTTTGCCGCCCCACGTGGGGTTCATGTGTCAATTAAGAGGTGGAAACAGCTACTGGCATCCAACTAGTCACATCATCTCGCCTTCTGGTGGCTATGGGTGATGGCCTAGGGAACAGGAGGTTGTGTCCAAGTGTCACCTGCTCGGCCGTGGGGAGCATAGGGAAGGGGGCGGGGGGTTTCTCACTGCCTGTGCGACCTTAGCCACCCACAGCACTTGCCCCTCGATGGGCCTCAGCTTTCTCCCAGAAAAATTGAGAAGGGGAGGAACTCGGCGCATTAAGATTCTAATGATCAGAGCTAGAACAATAGCAGAGCGGGTGGGGCGGTTGCCTTGCACGCGGTTGACCCAGGTTCGATTCCCAGCATCCTATATGGTCTCCCGAGCACTGCCAGGAGTGATTCCTGAGTACATGAGCCAGGAGTAACCCCTGTTTCATCATCATGTGTGACCCCCCCCCCAAAAAAAATTCTGATGACCGTGACGACATTACTGCACTCTGATGCAGGTGCATAGACACGCAACTTCTAGAAAGCGCCAGGAAGAAGCCTTGCGCTGCCTCTGAAGTCGAAGAGACCCTAATCCAAGTCTGAATTGAAGTCCAGACTCTTGCTCGCTAGGTCCCCCAAGCACGCGGGCCAATTAACAGCCCAGGCAACCTGGAGAGGCAGCTCCAGATGGAGGCCTGAAGGGACCTCTGTGGGATGCTGAGTGTGCGTGGGGGATGGGTGGGGGCACACCTGGCTAGGCTCAAGGGATGGGCGGCATGTCCAAGCGTCGGGAAGGAGAGACACTTTAGGGCAGACATACATCATACGTCTGTCTGTGTGGGGTTTGTTGGCTTTGGATCACACTGGCAGTGCTTGGGGGTGACTCCCAGTGCTTTTTGTGTGTGTTGGGGGAGGTCACTCCTGGCAGTGCTCAGGGTAGCTCACCCGGGGCTCCCACATACAAAGCGTGCACTGCAGGGCTATTCTCAGCCTCTCTCTCTCTGTCTCCCTGAGCCTTCCAACTACGTACATCACCTGTACAGCTCATTGGCTAGACAATCCCCAGGTGTGTGGGCATGTGGTACTACTTTTTATTTATTTTTTTGCTTTTTGGGTCACACCCAGTGATGCACAGGGCTTACTCCTGGCTTATGCACTCAGGAATCACTCCTGGCAGGGCTTGGGGGACCATATGGGACGCTGGGAATCGAACCCGGGTCGGCCATGTGCAAGGCAAACGCCCTACCCGCTATACTATCACTCCAGCCCCATGCTGCTGCTTCTGGGGTGGAGGGAGACTGGAACTCAGCCTACACAGAGCGGCTTCCTGGTTCCTTGTGTGGGGACACCACCACGCACAGGGCACAGTATGATCTGCCCCCTGTGTGTTTGGGCACCCCACCCAGCATCCGATGCCACAGCCAGGGGGCTCTCTCCTGTGTGCCCTCTGCCCCCGGAATCCCACCCTTAGGGCTCTGTAGGAACATCAGACCCTACAGGAAACCCCCAGGAAAGAGGATGCTTGTGATCACTGGACCTGCCCCAACAAGCTGATACCGACGGCCACTTCACACAGCAGGAAGTCAGGGGCTACGTTGTCCCACTTGTCCCCTGTGGCCCAGCCACACACTCCTTCCAGTTCCTAACGACCCCGTTAAGACCCCCTGGTAACTGCCCTCTATCCCCCCTGCCCTTGCTGTCCCCTCCATCCCTGCCCTTCATCGTATGAGCTCGGGATCCTGTCTGATACCTCAGCCTCCTCTGTGATGGGGCCCTCTGGATGGATGCAGCTCGCATGCCATGGGCTGGTGGGCTCATGCCAGTCCCTTGGCGGCTGGGCAGAGGGACCAACACATGAATGAATGGCTCCAGCAAGAAGAGTGAGCCTGGGCAGGCTGCCCACCTGAGTCCTCGAAGCTGGGGGCTGGCTCTACGGTGGGTGGGGAATCTCCTGAGCTCGGCTCCTAGAGTGGGGTGTGAGCAAAGGAGACAGGGGTGGCTGGGCACATAGGAGCGTGAGACAAGAGCTCCAGGCCAGGTGAACAGCTGCCTCCCTTTGCTGGGTGCTGATGGCGCTCGTAACTACCGGATGCTCCTCAGCATCCCTTGTCTGATTCTGACAAACGCTAAAGATCAGCTGAGCACAGGCTTCTCGGTTCTGGCAGGGCTGGGGGTAGGGCACGTGTCCCTTACCCACCTCCTCAAGACCCACGTGAAACCTGTCTGAGGAAATTCTCAGGAGTGCCCAGCCTGGGCTAGGGCACCATCCCCTGCCCTAGGGCCTTCTGGTTCAGGGAGTGTCCCTCTGTCCTGAGATAACCACTGGCCTGTCTTTCCTCGATGCCCATAGCTCAGAGATGGGCACTTGGATCCTGCTGTCCACTTACTACAAGGAGGAGACACCCTGAGATCCTCCGAGGAGATTGAGATCAGACCAGCCCTCCGCTCCCCCACCCCCGTCCCGTTCCTAGACTGTCTGCTCCTTCCTGAGTGCCCCCAAAGACCCTGCATGGTTCTGGGTACTTAATCACTGTCCTCCGGTTGTTCATCAATTTGCTCGAGCGGGCCCAGTAACATCTCCATTTCGAGACTTGTTGTTACTGTGTTTGGCATATTGAATACGTCATGGGGAGCTTGCCAGGGAGAGCCCAGCAAGCTACCGAGAGTATCTCGCCCGCAAGGGTACTAATACGCACAGAAAAATGCTTTCCCTGCTGAAAGTAGACTATAGACCAAACATGATTGCCACTCAATGCCTCTCTTGCAAACCTCAGCATCCAAAAGGAGAGAGAGAGAACAAAAGGGAATGCCCTGCCACAGAGGCAGGGTGGGATACTGGGACCCGTGGTGGTGGAAAATGGGCACTGGTGGAGGGATGGGTACTTGATCATTGTATAACTGAAACCCAAGCACAAAAAATTGTAAGTCTATAACTATACCTCATGGTGTTTCACTAATGCTTAAGCAGGCCCAGTAACGTCTCCATTGGAGACTCTGTTGTTACTGTGTTTGGCATATTGAATACGTCACGGGGAGCTTGCCAGGCTCTGCCATGCGGGCGAGATACTCTCGGTAGCTTGCCGGGGTCTCCGAGAGGGGCAGAGGAATAGAACTCGGGTCGGCCATGTTGGCTGCGTGCAAGGCAAACGCCCTACCTCTGTGCTATCGCTCCAGCCCACGCGTGAGAGGGGGATGGGAGCGCCTTGTGAATTTCACTAATAAATAAATAAAAATAAACGCTGTGAGATCTTAGGAAAGAAAAAAAAGAAAGAAAAATGCTTTCCCACAAATCGGGCTGCAGAGCCAAGCATGAGGGCTGGAGCACACAGTTTGAAGGTAGAAAGCCTTTGTTTGATCCCTGGAACTGCCTGGGCCCCCAGATACCGCCAGGAAAAATCCCTAAGCACTGGGTAAGGAGTAGTCACTGGACACTGCCAGGTGTGGCCCCACAGAAACAAAAATGCTAATCAGCAAAGAAATAGCACTGTAGCACTGACTTCCCATTGTTCATCGATTAGCTCGAGTGAGCCCAGTAACGTCTCCATTGTGAGACTTCTTGTTACTGTGTTTGGCATATGGAATATGTCACGGGGAGCTTGCCAGGCTTTGCTGTGCAGGCAAAATACTCTTGGTAGCTTGCCGGGCTCTCTGAGAGGGGCAGAGGAATCGAACCTGGATCAGCCGGGTTGGCCGCGTGCAAGGCAAACGCCCTATCCGTGGTGCTATCGCTCCAGCCCAGCAAAGAAATAAGCAAAAGAAAAAACAAGGAGGGGAGGGGGAGGGTGTCTTGGATACAGCCAACCCGAGTTCCATCCCCAGCACACGTAAATAACCCCTGAGCACAGAGCCAGGAGTAAGCCCTGAGCTCTGCCAGGTGTGGCCTCAGCCCTCCCGCGAATGAATAAATTAGAGAAAGCTGGTGGAGTTCTGAAAAGTGTTTTCAAGCTTAAGCCCTGGGCTCAGACCTCAGAAACTTGCCCTCACGGGGCTGTATTGTCTCCTCCGGCTGCGGATGCTAAGGAGTCCAACTCAGCAAGAGGACACACACACAACACACACACACACACACACACACACACACAACGCCCTGGGCATGGTACTCGCTCCGGCGGCTGGCTGAGCAGCAGGTGGGGACTATTCCAGGCTGCCGCCCAATGTGTGGTGCTTGTGGCATGGCTGCGTGGGTGCTGTTGTTCAGTCACAAGGCAAGGTAGGTCAGGCGGGACCCTCAGGCCCCAGAGAGACTGGGAGAGCTGAGAGCCATGCAGCCATTGCCCCAGCTCCTGTGCCACCCGATACCAGCAGGCCACTTTCAGGGGATGGCGGACTGGCCACATGCGGGGACACGTGTGTGGGGCAGCACCAGAAGGGGAGCCTTGGAGCTGGGATGTTGGGTCCATCAGAACCAGGGAAGGAACTTTGCTCCTCCCACCTCTGTTCAGCCCCGGGGGGCCCCCAGGTTGTCTTGGTTCAGGGGTCGCGGGGAGGGGAGTCAGGGAGGAGCAGCCAATGGCCTGGGCAGGAGCCAGCACTGTTGACATCCCTCAATGCCCCACAGTGGGGCCAGGCACCCCCCGGCCCGCTGCCTGCTCACCCGCTGCAGGAACTCCGTCCGCTCCTTCTTCTTGTTCCGGCAGCGGGCCGCCGCCACCTTGTTCTTCTCCCGCCGCCTTTTCCTCCGCTCCTCTTCCTCGTCAAGCTGTGAGGGCAAAGAGCCACTGGTCAGGCCAAGGGGGCCCACCCGCAGGACAATTGCCCTCTGACTCGGCAGGCTGGACGGGCCCCTCCCCGGGACAGAGGCGAGCGCTAGGGAGATGGACACACAGCCTGGCCCCTTGTGGGCCCTGGACAGATGGACACACAGCCTCGCCCCTCCTGGACCATGGGACAGATGGACACAGTCTGGCCCCTCCTGGGCCCTGGGACAGATGGACACACAGCCTACCCCCTCCCGGACCCTTGGAGGCAGCAGGGGTCTCCAGGAGGAGTCTGTGTCCCCGAGGAGCGGGGTCACCTGGATGCCAGCAGAGTCCTGCATCAGGCGATGCCCATCAGTCCTGCTGTGTCCTGCCCTGTGCTCTGGATACTGTTTTCCAGGCCACTGGGTCCGAGGGACGCCCTGTCGGCACATCCTGGCAGATCAGAGCCCACACATTCCTCCCCACCCTCATCCAGCTCCCAGATGTCCAGGCCCTCTCTCAAGGCCCCTGGGCTCCGTCTCCACCTTCCCAGCGCCCCACCTGACTTTCACTAGTTTGGGAGGAGCAGAGTGAATTGGGGCCACACTTGAGAGAGTGTGCTCAGGGCCCGCCTCATGCAAGGTTAGCGCCTAAACTCCCCGTGCTCTCGCTCCAGCCTCACACCTGCTTTTCACCCGTGCTCTGCTTCTGTGAGTGCTTCTGGGTCCAGGAGACGTGCTCGGAAGGAGCCGCCTCCACACAGGACATAGCAGAGACCCTCCACCCCCACCCCGCCGAGATCCACTTCTCCTCTGGGACCCTGAAGAATATCCACCATCTAAAAAATTCAGACCCAAAAGGCAGCTCAGATAGAGAAGGGAACACCAAGTAAAGGGTGTTTGGAGGACTCGCTTGGGATGCAAGATGCGTGCTGAAAGTAGACTATAGACTGAACACAATGGCTACTCAATACCTCTATTGCAAACTACAACACCCTAAAGGAGAGAGCAAAAGGGAATGCCCTGCCACAGAGGCGGGATGGGGGGACGGGGTGTGTGGGGGGAGGGCTACTAGGATCCTTGGTGGTGGAGAATGGGCGCTGGTGGAGGGATGGCTACTCGATCATTGTATCACTGAAACCCAAGCATGAAAGTTTGTAAGTCTACAACTGTACCTCATGGTGCTTCACTAATAAAAAAATAAATAAATAAATAGAAAAAAATCAGACCCAGGGGCCAGAGCAATTGTACTGTGGGGAGGGCTTGGGCCCTGCATGCAGCTGGCTCAGGGTCCATCATCAGCACCTCATATGTGGTCTCCCCAGGCCATCCAAAAGTGATCCATGAGCACAGAGCCAGGAGCAAGCCCTGAATATGGCTGGGTGTTCCCCTCACCATGCACACACACTCCTCCTTTCTCGAACAAAAAGCAGGAGGCCCGAATCCACGGGGCACCCGGCAGAGCTGCGTGCTGGAAAATAAACCCAGGGCTCCCGCACGCAAAGCCACTGAGCTGAGGCCCGGCCACCAACGCAACTTTCCAACTGCAGTGAGCTTTGCGCTACCAGCAAGAACAAAATCTGTGGTGTTTTCTGCTTCCCCCACAGATCATGGAATCGCCACAAAGACTTTAGGAGGATGTGACAGGCTGGTCCCGTGACACAGATGTAAGCCCAGGGTGCCTCCCAACTAGGAAATGGCAGGGCCAGCATCGGCCCAGCGCGGCTCTCCCTGGCGTCCACGGTCCTGCTCTTGCTCTTGTCCACACAAACCCCCCAGCCCAGCAGGATCATTTGATATGGTGTCTCTCGCTGTCCAGGACCTTCCAGAAGAATCTGGAACACACACAGACCAGCGGGGGCTGGGCACGGCAGTGTGGAGTCCAGCAGACGAGGCGCTGAATTGGCACACACACACACACACACACACACAGACCAGCGGGGCTGGGGACAGCTGAGCTTGGAGGCCAGCAGAGGAGGCATTGAATTGCCCCGCGCTTGCCAATTCCCTCACATCTCAGCCAGGGAGGGTGATGCTGGCTGCCCCAAACCTGGAACAAGGGAGGAAGGGGCCTCGGGCCAGGAAAATAAAAGCCTCTCTGGGTGCGCTCCCAGCCTGCTGGGGCTGAGGGTCTCGGCCTGGAGCCAGCCCCTCCTCCCTGCATCCCCTCTCAGCTTCTCCCTTACCCCCGAGGAGGCAGTGGGAGAGGAGGAGGAGAGGGAGGAGGTCATGTCAACACCGCCACACCCAGGCACCTCGCAGACCCCCGGCCTCCTCCGAAACCCACCCAGAAGTGACAGCTCCTCTGGCTGACCTGCTTCTGGGAAAACAGAAACCTGACAAAACCCATTCCGCCCTCACCTCCACCACCTCACCCCTGACAGGGGGGCCCCCCGGGGTAACCGTGACGACAGGCCCAGGGACGGCACTGGAGGAAGTGGCCAGCAGCGCAATCTCCCGCCTGCCAAGAGGGTTTGCCCACAAACTGCCAAGGGTGATGTGTGCAACCTGGGTTCGGCCACTCCCAGCCCTCCTCCCACACTGAGTGGGGGGCAGGCAGAGCAAGGCAACCTGATCAGCAGATGCTTCAGGGTTCAGGGGGCCGCAGCTGTGGGCGTGAAGATCAGGCACGTGTCTCAGCAGTAGAGAACTTGCCCGGCCCCTGTGAGGCCCTGGGCTGCCTCCTCAGCACAGAGAGAGAGAGACAGAGACAGAGGCAGACAGAGAGACAGACAGAGAGACAGATCCATCCATCCAGGGCATCAGACAGGCCCAGAGAGTCCATCTCTCCAACCACATTGATGCTCTCCTCCAAAACGATCACCCTTGTCCAGCAAGCAAGGCAGGCCTGGACAAGCCGAGAGAGGAGGACCTTCCTTTCCCACTCAGTTGAAAACTCTTACTCAAGCTTCAAGGAGGAGGACACCTCTTCCAGGAAGCACCTTTCAATGCTCAACAGAATGACTGCTATTCTGGGCTATGTGGAGGGCTGTGAGTGCCTGTCAACATCCCACTGTGACGTTGCTTAGGTCAGTGGCCTGTCTTCACCCCAGCGGGTGGGGGAAACCGCCAAGGAGAGGAACTCAGGAGCAGTCACATGGATGAACGGAACCAGAATGAATGAACGGAACCTGGACTCTGGAGAGACAGCATGGGCTCTAGCAGCAGTAAAAGGATGAGAGAGAGAGAGAGCGAGAGAGAGGCGGGATGGGGGGTAGCGGGAGGGAAACTGGGGTCATTGGTGGTGGGAAATGGACACTGGTAGAGGGATGGCATCTCTGAAGAAGGCAAGAAAGGGCCCTGAAACCCTATGACCACACCAATCCCCCTGGGACAAGACTCCTGGCTGAGCCACCCCAGCAGGGAGGCAGGGAGCATCAGATGAGATTCCCCCAGCTGACAGACCACTGTGTGTCCCTGGGCAGGGTCCTTGACCTCTCTGAGTCTGTGGAGCAGAAGGTGTCACCCAGGCCAGGCTGCATGGTGGCCCCAGGGCTGAGCCCCAGTCCAGGGCCGGTGACCCCAAAAGGGTCCCTGCTGCCGCCGCCTTCCCAGGTGAGGTGGGGAGGGGAGAGCTGCCTTGGACACACCCTGCCTCCGCCCCCACCCACAAAGGCAAAGCCTGGCATAGAAAGGGGACCTGATGGGGTGGGTGCATCTGGGCACTGAGCCAAACTGGCCCAGCAGCCCACAGTCCCCACCTCCCAGGGACAGGCCGGCCCACTAGGGTCCTCCCTCCCGCTCACTCAAGTGGAGGAGCCTTGTTTCAACACCAGGGACCCATAAGCACCCTGGGAAGTAAACACCCAAATACCAAACATACCAGACATTCCCCCACATAAACACTGGCTGCTGTGAGCCAGGGGCCGTGGAGCCGCCCAGCCCCCCACCCCCAAACCAACACAGCGAGGCAGGCCAGGGGCAAGACCTCTGCCAGCCAGCTGGGCCCGACCCCAAGTCCCGTCTAACCTCTTCTCATTGGCCCAGGGAGACATGGGAAGACCCCAGGGCGCCCGTCCAACACCCCTGGTCACGGGGTGCCAAGGCCGGTTCCCAGGGGCTGAGTTGCTGGAAAGCCTGTACCCCCCCCCCCCCCTTCTCTCCCCTCCCCTCCCCTCTGCCAGGCCCTTGAATGCCCTCCCAACCACCATGAGTCTGGCCTGGCTGCAAAATACTGGACCGTCTCGGGATCTGAGGGACAGGGTTGCAGGAGGGGAAGTTCAAGACAAATGGTCAGTCTGAGGCTGGCGTTGCAGACGCAGGGGCTGAGCAAGCATGAGAGAGGGAGGTGGGTGGACACCTCAGAGCCATGGAAGCCCAGGGCTGTCAGATGGTCCGTGTTGAGGACAAAGTGGAAATAGAAATTTTTAAGTGCAACTCCTCCATTTTTTAACGTTGGCAATGAATTCCTGGGGGTTTTGTTTGTTTGTTTTGGGTCATACCCAGCGGTGCTTGGGCTTATTCCTGGCTCTGTGCTCAGGGGTCACTCCTGGCAGAACTTGGGGACCATTGAGGGTGTACAGGGTTCAAACAGGGGTCAGCTATGAGTGAGACCCATATCATCCTTCATCTTTGAGGCCCACTTTGGAAAGGAGGCCGGGAGGCAAACAAAACCCCAAGTCCTGGTGCTGGCCAGGCTGGGACTGCTCATGGGAGGACTCCGGGGCCAGCATCAGTGCCCAGTGGGATTGGTCACCAGACACCTAGTTCTAGTCACCTCCATGCCCAGCTCTGTGACTCTGAGCCCATCTGTTCCTGCTCCCGTCCTGGGGGGTCACCATTAATAAATACAGTCCCCCAGCTCTGCACCAGCTTCCTGTATCTTTCAGGGTCACCGGAGGCTTCATCTTACAGGCAGGAAACTGAGGCACAGTGGGGTGGAGTCCGCTGACTTGGGCATCACTGCCTTAAACAGCTTGGGTGGGTCTGTGATATCCCCAGAGTTCTTTCTCCTGACTTCCCTGGAGTCCTGGTTGTTTGTGGAGTCCAGTGCTGGGAGGATGACGCAGGATCAAACCCAG